TGCATGTTGCACGGAGCATTGCACAGGGCTTTGCAAAGGGATGTTGCATTGCACGTTGCACGGAGCATTGCACAGGGCTTTGCAAAGGGATGTTGCATTGCATGTGCACGGGGATGTTGCACAGAGCATTGCACAGACACATTGCAGAGTATGTTGCATTGCACAGGGATGTTGCACACAGCATTACACTGGGCTTTGCAAACAGATGTTGCATTGCACATTGCACGGAGTATTGCACAGGGCTTTGCAAAGGGATGTTGCATTGCACGGAGAATTGCACGGGGCTTTGCAAAGGGATGTTGCATTGCACAGGGATGTTGCACTGAGAATTGCACAGAGCATTGCACAAGGACGTTGCATTGCATGTTGCACGGGGATGTTGTGCGGAGCTTTGCACAGGGCTTTGCATGGGGCACTGCTTTGCACAGGGCATTGCTTTGCACATTGCACGGGGAGCATTGCACGGTGATGTTGCATTGCACATTGCACGGGGATGTTGCACGGAACATTGCACGGGGCTTTGCAAAGGGATGTTGCATTGCACATTGCACGGGGAGCATTGCACAGGGATATTGCATGGGGACATCACCTGGGGACATCACCCAGGGCTCACCCTGGCACCGACCGTCCCCCCGCTCCAGCACCACCTCAAGCCCTCGTCATCTCCTCCGAGACAAGCAACGCCCGGGCGCCCGTCCTCCTCACCTGCCACGTTTGGGGCTTCTACCCCCCCGAGGTGACCGTCATCTGGCTGCGCAACGGGGACATCGCTGAGCCCGGCGAACACCCCCCCATCTCCGCCGTCCCCAACGGTGACTGGACCTACCAGACGCAGGTGACCTTGATGGTGGCTCCGGTGGCTGGGGACACCTACACGTGCTCCGTGCAACACGCCAGCCTGCAGCAGCCCCTCCTGGAGGACTGGCGTGAGTTTGGGTCACCACAGGGGGGGACATCACCCACCCCAACACCTGGGTCCTCGCCACGTGGGTGCTCACAGGTGTCCCCGATGTCCCCACAGGTCCTGGTTTGTCCCCAGGGTTGACGTTGAAGGTGGCTGCGGCCACCGTGGTGATGGCGTTGGGGCTCAGTTTCTTCATCACCGGCGTCTATCGCTACCGGGCCAGGCCACCGGCACCGGGTGAGCGGTGGAGGAGGGACAGGGACAGGGACAGTGGCATAGCGGGGGGACAAGGACAGTGGGTGACACGGACTGTCCTCACCCCTTTTACTCCCTCTTACAGGTTACACTCCCCTCCCCGGAGACAACTACCCTGCAGGTAATGGCACATCCAGCCCGTCCCCTGTCCCCAAGGGGTGTGTCACTCCTGCCACCCCATGTGTCCCCACTCCCTCCAGGCAGCATCTGAGAACCCCCAGGATGGTGACCACCCGGCCCCGATGGTCCCCGCAGTGTCCCTGTCACCATGGGGGTGACACCGTGGTGACGACAATAAAGATGCTTCACGGCGATGGGGTTATACAGGGGGTCCTGCTTTGTCCCATCGAGGGGACATGGTGTGGCACGAGGAGGGACGGGCATGAGCAATGTGTGTGACAGGCATGGGTGACGCCGGGTGTGAGCAACGCCTGGGCACGAGTGACATCGTGTGCTGAGCACAAGCGATGCCAGGAGTGAGCAGTGCCAGGCACGAGGGACGTCGTACACGGGGCACGGGTGACATCCAGGTGGGAGTGACAAGGTGCACCGGGCACATGAGGTGTCAGGAAGGAGCAGTGCTGGGCATAAGGGACACTGGGCACAGGCAGTGCTGGGGACAAGGGACACCGGGCACAAGCAATGCCAGGCATGAGGGATGCCAGGCACAAGGGACACTGGGCAGAAGGGACACCAGGCACAAGGGACGCTGGGCAGAAGGGACACCAGGCACAAGTGACACCAGGGACAAGGGACGCTGGGCACAAGTGATGAGGGGCACAAGGGACACCAGGCACAAGGGACACTGGGCACAAGGGACACTGGGCACAAGTGATGAGGGGCACAAGGGACACCAGGCACAAGGGACACTGGGCACAAGGGACACTGGGCACAAGTGATGAGGGGCACAAGGGACACTGGACACAAGGGACACCGGGGACAAGGGACACTGGGCACAAGTGACGAGGGGCACAAGGGACGCTGGGCACAAGTGATGAGGGGCACAAGGGACACTGGACACAAGGGACACCGGGGACAAGGGACACTGGGCACAAGTGACGAGGGGCACAAGGGACGCTGGGCACAAGTGATGAGG